GGGCTCTGAGCCGTCAGCACAGAGCCCGACGCGGGGCTCGAACTCACGGACCGAGAGATCGTGACCTGAGGCGAAGTTGGACGCTTAACCGACTGAGCCACCCAGGCGCCCCATATGATACTGATTATTGAGAGACACTTCAACATACACCAGGGGCACAACAAAATCTTAAAGTGTTGTAGGTCATTACTCGAATATCTTAGAGTGTGGAAAGGAAATTCCCAATAATGCTGAGAAGAGTTCATGGTTTTGAAAAATAAGGGGATGATAATTTACATAAGAATTCCAGAGAAGTTTAATTCCATAAAGGGTGGAATGAATATATTCTCATTGGAGAAGGTATTATTTATGTATGTGGGGTTTTATTCTTTTCAATTAAAGGAGGAAACTAACAGAGATTACAGCTTCCCCGCTGGCCTTGAAGACCATATTTTGGGGGAGAATATGTCACCTAACACGAGTGTCTCAGGGTTGGTTCCCAGCGAACTTACCCAGAGCAACACAAGCCTTGGCAGTAGCAGCAGCAGTGGAGATGTAGGAAAACTGCAATACTCAACAGGTATGGAAAGGATTGCCGTCTGCTACAAGTTATATGCCCGTACCTTTCCCTGCCACTATTGCATGTGCAATAAGCCCCATTTGTTGAGATGAGCTGACAGATTTTTTATATGACCACACGATACTATCACTTATATGATCTCTAAGTAGTATAGTCACCTAAGTTTATTTTTAGTTGCGTTTGTGGAGTATATCATTAGTTCTCAAACTTTAGTGTGTGTCAGAATCACATGGGGGATTAGTTTAAAAATATATACAAATGTCCAAGCTCTAGGCTAAAGCTTTTGAGACTGTATCTGTGGGACGGGGGCCTTAGGAATATATATTTTTAACTAGTGCTGTAGGTAAATAGAATGTATACCAGAGTTTGAGACTCCCTAGGCTATGTCACTGTCATTTCTTAGTACTTAATTATTTTTTTTAAGTCTGTTTTTTCCAACGTTCTATTAGGAGAAATTTCAAATGTCCTGAATAGTTGAAAGAATCATATAGTGAAGAATCATATATAGATTCTCCACCTAGATTTAACTATTGTTAACTTTAGATATATATATATATGTATAGAAATTTTTATACTGAACCATTTGAAAATAAATTGCAGACGTCATCATACTCCCCCTTAAATGCTTTAGTATGCATTTCCAAAGAATAAGGGCATTCTCACACATAGTGTGTTATGACATTTACTTCTCTCTAGGTGAACCTCCATTTCCAAGAAGTGTAAAAGGGCAGGACTTTGAAAAATCAGACCATGGTTCTTCTCAAAACACCAGCATGTCTAGCATCTATCAGAATTGTGCAATGGAGGTAAAAGTTCTGCCTTCTGCGCGTGATAATGTGGCTGTACACATTTTTATTTCAGAATGGTATTTAGCAGAATTCTTTGATGCCATTGTGGGCAGGAGAGTAAATCATTTTGTTGAATTTGCTTCCTGTCTTATGTAAGTAAGGCCATAAACTGGTAGCTTTATCTGTAAAGTGATTAAACTATTCAGTCCAAATTTGATCAGCAAAATAAATAAAATTCTGTGTCCCCAGAGGATGGCCTGTTAAGATGACTTTTTGCTGTGGAGGTTCTCAGTGTTCGCACTTTTCTGCTCTTAGGTTTTGATGTCAAGTTGTTCACAATGCAGAGCTTGTGGAGCGTTAGTTTATGATGAAGAAATTATGGCTGGATGGACGGCAGATGATTCAAATTTGAATACAACCTGTCCATTCTGTAAAAGCAACTTCTTGCCTCTTCTCAATATAGAATTTAAAGACTTGAGAGGCTCTGCAAGGTTAGTATTGTCAAAGCTCCCTTAAGAGGTGAGTGTCCTCCCAGAAGGCATGACTCCTGGAAGAAAAATGAAATAGTTATGGTACACTCCAGGTGTCCCTTTCCTTTCTCTCCTTCACTTTCAGTATTTGTGTGGAAAATACTAGCACTACAGGAGACTACTTTTCCATTTTATTTAACATATGATTACCAGTAGTAGTTAATTCTTAGAGCTGAACTGTATAGATAATTCAAAACTTTAATATTTATCATTATTTTAAACTTTCTGTCTCAGCTGTCTTACATCTTCTAGAAGAAAAAATGAAGGTGTAGGGGACGGGGTTTTTTTTTTGACTCTTCTAACGTGTTGCCTCTTTATGGTAGTGCTCTGTGTGGCATAATGACCGAATTCTAGGCAATAGAAAGACTAGCTGATCTAGTAATTAAGTAATTGGGAGTTTGGTAACTGCTTACCTAAGTAATTATACTTAATATTCTATTTGTTTTATGGAACAGACGAACTTCGCTTTCTACCTTTAGCTGCTTTTAAAAAAATTCTCCAGTTGTACAGGTATTTCTTCTTAGCTTAATTTTTCCTTTTAGCTTCAGGTGTGGAGCTGAGTGGAATCATACTCTAATTCCTGATGCACTATCGTCATTGGTTTGTGCAAGGGCCATCTTTTATTAGCTCTACCCCCCCAGCCCCTGCCATTCCCATTCTCATTCCTTTATCCAACAGAGACATTGCCTCTACGGTGTGTGATGTCTCTTTGAATATATATCCTCATGAAATACATTGTTTTTCACAATTATGCATTTTTAACTTACATAATTAAAATACTGTTGAACATATCTATTTTTATTATTAAGTTTAAAATCTGAGTTGCTATATGTACATCTAATTTATTCCTTTTTCTCCTGTAGGAAGTTAATATCTCATTTTAGTCATCCAATATCCTGTTGTTGTTTCAGTTGCTTCCAGTATTGTGTTACTATAAATATCACTGCAGTGATGCAGTGCACTGTAAAATATCTCTCTCTCTAAACTTGTGATGAATAGTAGTCTTAGGAGTGAAGTCATTAGGTCATTTTCATGCATGATTTGAATAAACAGTGGAAGATTGCTTACCACATGACAACACCCCCACTGTTAGTGCCCAAGAATTCTCATTTCTGTATATCCTTACCAGCATTTGGTATTATCATTTCTTCTGGTCTTTGTCTTCTAATGAGTATAAAGTGGTATCTTGTTTTTGTTGGAATTTTTCTGAATATTAGTGAGTTTATCTCTTCATATACTTGTGAATTATTCCAGCATTTTCTTTTATTTTTTTTAAAGTTTATTTATTTATTTTGAGAGAGAGCAGGGGAGGGGCAGAGAGATGGGGGAGAGAGAGGATCCCAAGCAGGTTCCTGCTATCTGTACAGAGCCTGACATGGGGCTCAATCTCACATACAATGAGATCATGACTTGAGCTGAAATCAAGAATCGGATGCTTTACTGACTGAGCCTCCCAGACACTCCTCCAGCATTTTCTATGAATTACCTGTTTATACCTTGTCCATTTTTATATTAGCTTTCTTTTTCTTGTTGATGTCTGTCTTGAATATTCTTGATATTAATTCCTTAAAATAATGTGTTTTGATGTCATTATCCATTAATTTTCCACCTTATGATTTGTGCTTTTGGAGCCTTGTTTTTGTTTTTTTGTTTTTTAAATGTTTTATTTATTTTTGAGAGAGAGAGAGAGAGAGAGACAGAGACAGAGACAGAGTACGAGCAGGGGAGGGGCAGAGAGAGAGAGGGAGACAGAATCCACAAAGCAGGCTCCAGGCTGTGAGCTGTCAGCACGGAGCCTGACATGGGGCTTGAACTCATGAACCACGAGATCATGACCTGAACCGAAGTTGGACGCTTAACCAACTGAACCACCCAGGCGCCCCATTTTGGAGCCTTGTTTTAAAAGTTGTTTGCCATCTGTAGGACATGAAGATTTTCTCTTAAAGTTTCTTTTGTTAGCTGTATATTTTACCTCTGATATTTAGGTCTTTAATCCATCTGGAGTCCACCTTTGTGTTTGTGTATGATGGTAGGGATACAACTTTCCTTTTCTCCATGTAATGCGCTGGTTTTCCATCCTTTCTTCATTGATAGGTAGCAGCACCTTTATCACATTTCAAGTTCCCATGCACACCTCACCCTGGTTCTGTGTTCCCTGTTCTTTTTTGTCAATACTGTTTGTGTCGTGTCTGATTGATAAGGGAAGCTCCCCATCATGGAGTTTTAATTATTTATTTTGCTTAGAGCAACTTTAGTTTCCCCTCCTCCCCGAAGAAGTCCCAACTGGAGTTTTCACTGGGATTGCAGCATTAGCTGTATAGATTTATTTGGGGAAAATGGACGTTTTTAGTGTTATTCTCTTATCTTTGAGCATGGTATGTATATATCTCCATTTTTTTAGATTATCCTTTGTGTCCTTTTAATAGGGTCTTAAATTATTCTCCCTAGTCTTATACTTTTTTGTTGTGTTAATTGTGCTTCTTAAGCTATTGTGTTAAGTACTTTATTTTATATTTTCTAAGTGAGTGTAAAGGAGCATTATTGATTTCCACCCCCAAATATGTCTTTATGGAAAATTTCAAACTTGCTGTGAAGTTAAAAGACTTTTTTTTACAGTGACACCCAAATATCCATCTCTGTATTACTATTTTATTGTACTTTCTTTATCAACTGTCTATCCCTCCATGGATCCACCAATTTTTCTTATGTTTTTATTCATTTGAAAGAAGGTGTAGACATTATTAATACACTTCTCCCCCAAAGACTTGAGCATACATATTAACTAAAGTTCAATATTTGTTTACAGTTTTTTCTTTTGCAATAAAGTTGTATATAAGAAAATCTACAAATTTAAAACGTACCATTTGAAAATTGAATGTGGGGGAACCTGGGTGGCTCAGTTGGTTGAGCATCCGACTTTGGCTTGGGTGATGATCTCGCAGTCCATGAGTTCAAGCCCCACATTGGGCTCGCTGCTGTCAGCACAGAGCCCGCTTTGGATTCTCTATCCGTGCACCCTCCTCCCACCTCTCTCTCTGTCCCCCTCCTGCACACACTCTTTCTCTCCCTCTCTGTCTCCCTCAAAAATAAATAAACATTTAAAAAAATTCAAAAGAAAATTGAATGTATACGTTTGTGCACACCAAACCTTTATCAAATACAGAATATTACTACAGCCTCAGGAAGTTCTCTTAATGTCCCTTGCAAGGCCCAACACTCACCCCATCCCCACCCAGAAAGAGATGGATAGAGATAAGACAAGAAGACGAAAACAAAATAATGAATAAAGGGGGAAAGAAATGACTAGAGACAAAATGGATATTTATGGGGGGAGGATATTATAAACAATTGTAGGTTAATATGTGATAAAATGCCATTGCTGCTCTTTTTCTTCTTTAACTCAGAAAATTAATGAAATATTTTGTTTTCCATATTCCTTCATAGCTTTCTTTAATGGTTCTCAATTCTGAAAGGATGTTGCATTGAACTGTAATGACTTTGAGACCTTTTTCATTTAAAAAAGTTTACGACAAGAGAGGAAGAGAGAATGGGGGGGGGCTGTGTGTGTGTGTGTTTGAAATAGATGATACTTCTATGGATTGTAAAATTCCTCAGTGACTCCTTTACCATAAAGTGATTCTAAATACGAAATTTAGAGGATTCTAGGATTTTTAAAGACTTTTTCTGGATTGCTCCCTATTTAGCTTTTTCCTGAAACCAAGCACCTCTGGTGACAGTTTACAAAGTGGCAGCATTCCATTGGCAAGCGAACCTTCAGAGCACAAACCTGTGTCCGCTTCAGCAGAACCTGACTTGATCAACTTTATGGATTTCCCCAAACAAAACCAGACCATAACTGAAGAGACAACCTCTGCAATTGAATCAAGGTACTCTAGGGTACAGAGAGCTCTTCATTATAAATTGGGTACCCTTGTAAAAATTCCATCTTTAAAGACAGCCTTATGTAGGCGTAAGTTCTGGCATTTTATTTATTTAATTTATTTTTAAGTTTTTATTTATTTATTCATTTAAGTAATCTCTACACCCAACTTGGGGCTCAAACTCATGACCCCAAGATCAAGAGCTGCACACTATACTGACTGAGCCAGCTAGGAGCCTCTAAGTTCTGGCATTTAAAAAATTTAATATTAACTTTTTACTACAATACATTGTTTAAGTATCTAATAAACAAATGTGATGATCAATCGTTTTTGAAACTATGTTTAATGTTTTACAGTGTCCTTTTACAGAATGAACTTCTCTGTAGTAAAAAGTATTCAGTACCAGTTTCCAGAGACATATTTTCTTTACTGTGAAATACACCGCTTCCTCTTAAATACTGATTGAATCGGACGTTTATTCAGAGCCTGTTGTATGCTGAGCATTATGCTAAGCACTAAAAATAAAAAAGTAAGATCTAGTTTCTGCCCTTAGGTGGATCTTGGCCTGGTAGAGGTTAAATACTCATCTGTAATATCTAGTTGGACGCAGGATAATTCTAGGTGATTTTGTTTAATAAAGAGGAAATAATGTTTGAATAAAGCAACTGTGAATGGGCACTTAATCTTTTAAAAAGAATATCTATTGTCTACCCTTTGTCCTCTTCTTCCCATCTGTCACCAGAATTATCCATCCCATCCTGTTCTCCTGACCACTTTTATAGAAATGCCTGAAGAAAATTTAATCTTATAAGGTGGTACTGATTCTTCTCCGATATATTCAGTTAGACTCAGAGTTCACTGTAGAAAATACTCTAGGTATACAAATTGAGATTGTATTACAGCACAAATACAGCATTTCTTCCTCATGTTTTTTAAGTGATGAAATAAAGAAAGCCGGTGGAGAAGTCCAAACCATGAAAATTTCATCTGTGCCTAATAGTTTATCAAAGCGAAATGTATCTTTGACGCGAAGTCACAGTGTTGGGGGTCCCTTGCAAAATATTGACTTTTCCCAGCGACCGTTTCATGGCATTTCAACAGTCAGTCTTCCCAACAGTCTGCAGGAAGTTGTGGTAGGTAACAACATCATAATTATCTGTGTGTTCATGAAAGTATTTATTAGAATAGCACATAATCCATCTTTAGTGGCTTTTCTTTAACCATAAGTGATAAGATAAAGAGACTAAGAACTTTTTATTTTTTGATTGATTGATTTTTATTTATTTAAATTTTTATTTATTTTGAGAGAGAATGAGAGAAGGGGGGGGGGGGCGCGGTTACGGGCAGAGAGAGAGGGAAAGAAAGAATCCCAAGCAGGCTCCGCGCAGAGCTGCATGCCAGGCTCAATCTCATGAACTGTGAGACCATGACCTGAGCCAAAACCAAGAGTCAGATGCTCAACTGACTGAACCACCCAGGTGCCCCAAGACTAACAGCTTTTTAAGATTTCAAGTACATTCAAAAATAAAAGGAGTATACGGAGTCCCTTTGACCCATCATCTGGCTTCAGTAATTTTCAACTTATGGCCATTCTTCTTTTATGTATATCCTTATTCACTTCTTTCCTAGATTATTCTGAAATAAATTTCAAATATCATATATTCCATTTGTAAATATTTCAGTATGTAGTTCCTAAGAGATAAGGACTCTGAAAAATACATGCCACTATACAACCAAAAAAATCAAATTATTCAATCTCTGTTCAAATTTCTATTTTAAAAATGTGAAGTATGTGTGTCTTCTGTAGTTTGAAGAATGAGGATCAAATAACATCTATGCATTACCAATTGGTTGATCTGTTTTTTAGTCATTTTACATCTGTAGACCCTCTTTTTTAGCCTTGCAACTGTATTTGTTGATTATGACGCTATAAATTGGTAAATTATATCTAGAAGCTTGATCACATTCAGGTTTTTGTTTGGTTGTTTATTTTTGTAAGACAATTGCAGTGGTAGAATGTCCCTCAATAGAAGACATGAACTTTCTTTGTGATGCTAGTAGCGATTAATGCCTCATTGCCTACATCAGATTATTCATTTCCAGCTTTCAAGGCTGGTAGTCTAATTGTCTTTATATATGTTGGATACATCTGTAAAGAGAAACATCCTCCATGTTTTCTGTTTGCTTTTCCAAAAATGCAGTTTATTTTGGAAAGGTGGGACAAATATTTTTCCTTTTACTTACCAGTTTTCAAAATAACAGGTTGGATTCCTAGCATCCTCTAAGGTGATGAATTAATTTGGAGGAATAGAGTATCATTATGAGCTCACTAATTTAAATAGGTTTACATCCATTGCTGTTGTTATCCTTATTAATATATCATCCATCTTTGATCAGCTAGAAGCCTCTACAGGTTGGTGTTTTAGTTCTTTTGACACATCTCTAGCAGCCTTTTTCTAATTTTTTTTACAAAGCTTCTTTGCTTTCTTATATGACAAGATGTTTCATGCTCATGTTAATATTTCTTTCTCTAGACCTAGAATCAGCCATTTCTCTAAGAAGCTCTAGTTCATTTTTGAGGAAATGGTATTTGGAGACCACAGCCTGGGCACTAGGGGTACCCATTAATGAGTTGGTCATAAGCATTTTATTCTGATTATAATTTGCACAACTTAGAAAGTCTGAATTGGCATCGTTTTCCTTTGTTTGTAAGACTGCTCTTTAGCTGTTGCAATCAAATGTGAAAGCACATTAGATATAATTCTAAAAGGAGTCATCAAATAATATTAACACAAAAATTGCCCCATCTATTTAGATTGTAGGAAGAAGATAGAGTCAACTTCTTTTTTTTTTTTTTTGGAATAATCCTAAATATCTGAAATGTAGTATTTCTTTCTGTTTTGTTTTTGAGAGAGAGCATGTGTGTGCAAGAACACACACTAGCAGGAGAGCAGCAGAGGGAAAGAGAGAATCCCAAGCAGGCTCCATGCTCAACACAGAGCCTGATGCAGAGCTCAGTCTCACAACCATGAAAACCATGACCTGAACTTAAATCAAGAATTGGATGCTTAACCGACTGAGCCACCCAGGCATCCCTGAAATGTAGTATTTTTTTTGTAAAAGTTGAAAAGGAAAAAAAAAAATCAATCTGATAGAGAAACTCTGTATGTTTAGGGTCTGTCTCTGGATTATTTTCTTTTGTAATCATTTAACGTAAGGGCATTTATGATTAAGTACTTTCTTTTCTTTTTTTAGGTTTTCATTAGCGTATACTGCATGTAGCAATGGTTCTGAAGTAACTGATTTTGAAAGGATAGAGCATAATCTCCTTGAGAAGTACTCTTAAACATACACAGAATAGATAATATTCACTTCTTTCTGTATTTTTATTTTTTAAAGGATCCTTTAGGAAAAAGACCCAATCCTCCCCCTGTTTCTGTGCCCTACTTGAGTCCTCTAGTGCTTCGTAAAGAACTTGAATCTTTGCTAGAAAATGAAGGTGATCAAGTGATTCACACATCCTCTTTCATCAATAAACATCCAATCATTTTCTGGAACCTCGTTTGGTATTTCAGACGTTTGGACCTTCCTAGTAACTTGCCAGGACTTATCCTCACATCTGAACATTGTAATGGAGGTGTACAGGTAGGGTACCAACTTCTATACTTGTACTACGTTGGTGTTGGTGAGAATGAGGCTTAACTTCAGAGTAACAAGTGTACAACAACAGTGCCTTAACGAGATGTACGTTATTTCTCTCTCACGTCAAAGTTTGGGAAGGTGGTCCTGGGATGATGTAGTCTTAGGGACCTGAGATCCTTCTGTCTTTTTGGTCAGCTGTGTATAACCTCCATTTCCAAGTTCTATACCTGGTCCAGGATGGCCTCTCTATTTCTAGCCATCATGTCCCTATTCCAGCCAGCAGTAAGGATAAAAATGAATGGAGAAGAATGTGTCTTCTTTCTGTAGGGATGGTTCCTGGAGTTGTACATAACATTTCTCTATGTATCTGTTTGGCCTAAACTTAGTTATATGGTCATACCTAGTTTGCAAGGGTGGCTAGAAAAGGTAGCTTTTATTCTGAACTATCATATCACCAATTGACCTTCTCGCAACAACTTTATTTTAAAAAAAAAATTTTTTTTTTCAACGTTTATTTATTTTTGCGACAGAGAGAGACAGAGCATGAACGGGGGAGGGGCAGAGAGAGAGGGAGACACAGAATCGGAAACAGGCTCCAGGCTCTGAGCCATCAGCCCAGAGCCTGACGCGGGGCTCGAACTCACGGACCGCGAGATCGTGACCTGGCTGAAGTCGGACGCTTAACCGACTGCGCCACCCAGGCGCCCCATAACAACTTTATTTTAAAGGACTCCTCTCATGCATGTTTTTCAGATGATATAATTAAAAGTTGGAGAAGTTAAGTAATTTTCACGGGGTCACACACCTGCTACGTGACGGGGAGCCAAGACCACAGTCTGGCTGTCTGACTTTAAAGCCCTTACTGTACTTGGGCTGGGGTGCCCGATTCCATTGGAGATAGTGGGCTTTTAGAGTTTCTTCATTTATAATATTGATTAGAGACACCCCAACACACACCAGGGGCACAAGAAAATATTTTCTTAAAGTATTACACTCTATTTTGACTCATTTATTTTAAGTAACAGCACAAGATAGTAGAAACTATTGTACTTTCTCTACCTTAAAATTTGTTCTAATGGTGACTAATCTTTCATGTGGCCACTGTGCCAGTTACCAAGTTGTCTTTGCAATCTGTGGAAGTAGGAATGAAAAATATGCACCTCAGAAAGTAGGAATATGTATCAATACAAATAAAAATCAAAATTTTTTGCTTAGAATTTTAGGTCCACAGTTTCAAAAGAACGCTTTTATTTTATATAACCAAGCTTTGCTAGATCCACTGGTAATTATTATGCTTAGAGTACTAATACTTTCTATTGATCTCTTTTAGCTTCCTCTGTCATCTCTGTCCCAGGATAGCAAACTTGTGTATATTCAGCTATTATGGGATAATATCAACCTTCATCAGGAACCAGGAGAACCTTTGTATGTCTCATGGAGGAATTTTAGTAAGTAAATTAGAATTAAAGACATAAAAGACTCAAACTGGAAATAACCCATATATCTTTTCATAGGTGAATAAATAAACAAATTGTGGTACAATCCATACAGTAAAATACTATTTAACAATAATGAAGAATAATGGGTGCCTGGGTGGATCAGTCATTTAAGCGTCTGACTTCAGCTCAGGTCATGATCTTGCAGTCCATGAGTTTGAGTCCCACGTTAGGCTCTGTACTGACAGCTCAAAGCCTGGAGCCTGCTTCAGATTCTGTGTCTCCCTCTCTCCCATTCATGCGGTGTCCCTGTCAAAAATAAAAATAAACATTAAAAAATTTTAAAAACAATAAAGAAGAATAGACTATCGAGGTAAAAAATTGAGATGAGAGAAACAAATTATTCTGCTTTACTTTAAAATTTTTCATATGTTTTTATTATTTCTTTCAAAAATCTTGCCACTTTAGATCAAATTGATTTGCTCTTGTACTGACCCATTTAACTGCATCAGGGAGTTGAAGAGTGTTTTGTGATTTTTCTGTCAAATGCCAATTGGTTAGGTATTTGGAGAGTAACTTCTTTTTTTTTTTTTTTTTTTTAATTGAGAGAGTGAATGAGCAAGTGCATGTGTGAGTAGGGGAGGGGCAGAGAGAGAGGGAGAGAGAGAATCCCAAGCAGGTTCTGCACTGTGAGCGCGGAGCCTGACACCAGGCTCAAACTCACAAACTGTGAGATCATAACCTGAGCTGAAATCAAGAGTTGAATCCTTAACCTACTGAGCCACCAAGGTGCCCTGGAGAGTAAATTCTATATAGTTTAAGAGTAATTTGGATGTGTTGGTATAAGATCATAATTTTAATTACATGGATACTAACCTCAAAGATTCTGGTTTCATTTTCAGTCTTTTGTATTTAGAACATATTTTTACAGAGCATTTAAAAAGTTGTATCATTCACTGTTCCATAGTCCTTTAAGTCAATAAGACGACACAACCCAGGAGATGAACAAATGACATCAGTAGGCAGTTCGTGGAAGAAACGTTGCATAGTTTATATTAGTTTGCCAGGGCTACTATAACAATACCACAGACTGGGTGGCTTCAGCAACAGAAATTCATTCCTCACAGTCTGGAACTGGTGTGAGCAAGATTGGTTTCTCCCAGGGCCTCCCTCCTTGGCTTGCAGTTGGCCTTTTCTCTGTGTACATGTGCATCCCCCTGGTGTCTTTTTCCCTTCTTATGAGGACACCAGTTATGTTGGATTAGGTTCCCACTCTATGACCTCATTTAACCTTAATTACCTCTTTAAAGACCCTATCTTCAAATATAGCCACATTGGGGGTTAGAGCTTCAAACATATGAATTTTGAGGAGATATAATTCAGTTCCTAACACAAATATGAAAAAATGCTCAATCTCTTTACTTAATGAAATATCAAGTTCTTTTGTTAAAAAAGGAAAAATACAAACTTAGTTACATCAGGATGGCAAAAGATCTTAATAATTAAAATCCAGTCTTTTTGAGGATATGAAGGAAAAGAACACTTTGATACACTGTTAGAAGTGCAAATGATATACTTCTGGAGAACAATGTGGACTATATTATCCATATTTAATATGTGGATATCCTTAAACTCAGCAATCACAGTAAGACAGCTCTGTTCTATAGAAAGCATATGCAAAGCTTTCTGTACAGTGATGCTTACTGTATGATTATTTGTTTTAAAAACTTCACATAAATACCTAACAGGAGAATTGAGATAAATCCATACTATGAAATGTTGGCAGCCAAGAAAAAGTATAAGGGTCATTTGCATACAGGTGTCTGAAAGGATGGATGCCCATCATATATTGAGTGAAAAAGGGCAGGTTTCAGAACAGTGTATGATCTTCTTTCTTTTTTTTCTTTGGAAAAATCAACCCCAAAATATATATCTGTGTTTTGAATATCTGCAAATAAAAAGGTCTAAAACTACTACTAACAGTGGCTCCTTGGAAGAGAAAGGGAACAGTTCACTTTTAATCTTTTATTAGATTGTCCTTTTCAAAAACTCTATTAATATTTTGCTATTTGGATTGTTTCCCTTGAAAATGCTAGTCATAAAATTATAGTTAAGTACATTATAAGCTGTTTTTGTCGTTTTTGTTGTTGTGGTTTCAGTTCAGATATTTTTATGTTTTTTTTAAATAGCCAAGTAGCCTTGAAATTTCATGTTAGAAAATGATAGTGTTGCTATTTCTTTAGTTATTTCCCACCTCTCTTGAAATGCACAGGTGTTTCAAAATATTCTATAATTTATGATGAAAATAAAATTTAGCATTTTCAAGAATGGCCTTATTTCTCAAGAACGCCTTGATTGGCTGCTTTAAATGAAGAATTGGCATGTAAATGACATTAAAAGAGAACAATTAAGTGGGTGATGGCTTTTAGAATGGTATGACTTCTCAATGACTTCTGGAAGAGGATTTTCAGAGACCCGCTTCCTAGCAAAACAACCATAATTGGTGAAAGTTATTAAAGAAAAAGGAGGGAATATGGCAGAGTAGACGGATCTTGAGTTTACTTTGTCCCACAGACAAATTGAAGCAACAGCTACATCTGTTGAACTAACTGAAAATGACCTGGAGACTGGTGAAACAGATCTTCCAAAGCTAATTGTAGAGAGAAGTCCATATCAAAAAGGGGAAGCAGGGCAGTCGGGAACCATACTTCAGTACAACTAACTACAAGTGGGAGGAGCATCATAAGCATGGGGGAGGAAGGAGGGGATCGGACCCCATACTAGGTACCTGCACTGAGAAGCAAAGTCCCCATAACTTCTGGCTTTGAAAATCAGCAGCACTTAACTCCAGGAGAGCCAGAGGATGACAGGAAGCTGAGTCCCCACCTTTAAAGAGCCAGCATGCTAAGTAACTTGCTGGGGACACAGCAAAGCAGCAGCAGTTTGAAAAGTGCCTGGGGTATATGTGAAGGAGATTTGTTGACTAATTTTAGGACATGTACCAAAGGGGCAGAGATCTGCAGACTTCTCTGGGAACAAAAGTGCTGGCAGGCACTGTTTTTCTTCTCCTCCCCTAGCCTAGATAGCTGGACACTTGGGGGAGCCAATATTAACACTCTCCGTGTACCCCATGGTAGTCACAAATCAAACACCTATAATATAAAAAAAAAAAAAAGAGAGAAAGGAATCTAAGCATAAAAACTAAAGAAAACCCTCAAACCACAAGGAAGAGAGCCAGAAAAGAAGAAAGGAATAGAGAACTATGAAAACAACCAGAAAACAATTAAAATGGCAGTAAGTACATACCTGTCAATAATGACTTTAAATGTAAATGGACTAAACGCCCTAATCAAAAGGAGAGGATGACAGAATGGATAAAAAAAAAAAAAAAAA